TTATTCAAATTGTATTAATATGTAAAGACCAAATGTAACTTATATCATCATTAAATCTTCTCTAATAAAACCAGTAAAACTTCAAAATGGTTAAAATTCACAGCTCCCATTGCATTGCACAAATACACAACTAGTTCATCTATAAATATAAATAATATAATTTTTATTTAATTTATTTAAAAAATAGTAAATAGAATAGAACCAGCAAAATACCTTTTATTTAATAGACTTAGAGCATCTCCAATCAACCGGCAATTTTTAGGATTTGTCGTTTCACGTTTGTGACCTCTCCAATCGACCGGCAAATGAATTTAGGTTTTGCCGGATCCCTTATTTGAACGGCAAATATGCCGTGGGTTTCTTGAACGGCAAAACCAGTGGGACCCATTAATTTGTATTAAAAACCATTTTTCATTTAATAATTTAAGGGTTGATTGGGTTATTTTAATGTGGGATCCATAAATTTGGTGTTTTTTTTAGAGTATGATTGGAGTTGAGTTTTTTTTAGTATTTATGGACCCATCATATTTAGCGGTTTTTTTGGTGATAAGGTCGGAGTTGCCCTTAGAAACCATTTTCAAAACAAATGAAAATCACAAGATTGTTTTTTAAGACTATCAAAATTCAGGTTTCATTTTCAGATTTTTATGAAATCTTTTTAATATTTTAATAAAATTTAATAATGAGGAAACCGTTCGTGTATGAGATCCCAATTCCCAAAACACAGCATAACGGATCTTCATCCCAGCACTATGCTCGCTGCTGCAGGTCACGTGCTTCACTCGTGGCATTTCCCTATTTATAACCCCCAATGCACCCCCACTCAATTATAATAATAAATATTTTATATTAATTTTTTATTAACCTGGATATTCAATTTGTTATATGAGCCAACTAATCACAGAAACGATTATCTATTTTACAAGTGGTCCGGAATTATCGTATTTAAACCTCTGTGACCACAAAATGGATTTTTATTCTTTCTTGAATTTGAACCTGAGACCTTTAAATTAAACACTATGATTGTGATTAATATTTTCTACTAATAATATATGTGACAATTTTGACACCATTTGAATAACTTATGTTTCAGCAATTGCAGGGAATAATATTTTTTTTAAACATATCATATGATTTTGCTTTAAATTCATATATGATCTGACTGTTTTTTTAAATGCTATAACCTTTTTTTTTTAAATTTAGAACTGTAATCTTCATAAAATTATTGTATACAAATGTTGATAAGACAACCGAGCAAATTGTACAAGAAAATTAAATCATTTAATATATTGATCGAAGTTTTAAGTGTAAAAATGTTAACTTACGTGTCTCACGAAAACAATTTTCTCTTACATGATCTCAAATCTATAGGGTTATCTTCACAGTGTTTTGCTGTGAAAGTTATTTTTACCTTCACAACATTTTATTGTGAAGTTTTAAGTATAAAAATGTTGTCTCACGTATCTCACGAAAACAGTCTCATCTCACATAAACATAACCCAACAAGATATATTCATGTCAGAAACTTAAATCATGTCAGGAACTTATCTTACAGATATGAATGATCATCGAAAATATGATGCTACTTTAGACTTGTATTCTTGAAATAACTCTGAAGTATAACTTTTCAGACTTGAATTTAGAAATGAAACTATGTCAGTAAATTAAATTTAAACTTAGAAGTAAATTTAAAATGACTCTTCAGACTTGTACTCTTGAAATAACTCGGAAGTAAAACTCTTTAGACTTCAGACTCTGTATAGGCAAGCCAGAAGCTCTGCATGCACTATGTAGAGGCTCTTCATGCACTATGCAAAGGCTCTACATGGTGCTTCGTCTAGAAAAGAAGGCTTCAGAATTCAGGTTAGCTAACTCTGAAGAATGACTCTTCAGACATGTAATATGAAAATAACTCCGAAGTAAAACTCTGAAGAATGATTCTTCAGACTTGTACTCTTGAAATAACTCTGAAGTATAAAATCAATCACATTAAATCAGAGTTTAGACTTCTAAGTCTAAAAAAAAGATTTCAGAGTTCAGACTTCTAAGTCTAAAAAAAAGACTTCAGAGTTCAGACTTCAGAATTCGGTTGAGCTAACTCTGAAGAATGACTCTTCAGACTTGTAGAAGAGTTCAAACTTCTAAGTTTGAAAAAGAAGACTTCTAACTTCTTTTTCTAAGTTTAAAAAAAAGACTTCGGAGTTCAGACTTCTAAGTTTGAAAAAGAAGACTTCAGAGTTTAGACTCCAGAGCTCGTGAGCTAAGATTGAAAAAATAGACTTCAGAGTTCGAGTGAGCTAACTTTTTAGAATGACTCTTCATACTTGTACTCTTGAAATAACTCTGAAATATAACTCTGAATAATGACTTCAGACTTGTACTCTTGAAATAACTATGAAGTATAACTTTAAAGAATGACTCTTCAGACTTGAATTTTGAAACGAAACTATATCAATAATTAGTTAAAATGAAGTTAATCCTAGAATAAAATTTAATTTAGAAATGAAACTATATCAGTAAATTGAATTTAAACTTAGAAGAGCATCTGTGTCAAATTTGAAGACGAAATCTAAAGACCTTGAGTTCATAGTTATTCATATACCCAATATCTTTGAAAAAGACCTCATGGTAAAGTTTGCATTATACAGAACAAGACCAACCTGAGCTCCTCTGACATCTAGAAGCCAGACCAACCAGAGGGGCTCTGGCTTACAAAACTAAGTCTAAGTCCTAAAGACTTATCTTCAAAGTCTTAGATAAGTTTATTACAAGACTTGTACTCTTGAAATTACTTTGAAGTAAAACTCTTCAGACTTCAGAGCTCTGTATAAGCAAGCCAAAAGCTCTGCATGCATTATGCAGAGGCTCTGCATGGTGTCCGTTTGGAAAAGAAGACTATAGAGCTCGGGTGAGCTAACTCTGAAGAATGACTCTTCAGATTTGTACTCTGGAAATAATCCTGAAATAAAACTCTGAAGAATGATTTTTTCAGACTTGTACTCTTGAAATAACTCTGAAGTATAAAACCAATCCCAATTAAATTACAGTTCAGACTTCTAAGTCTGAAAAATAGAGAGTTAAGAGTTCAGATTTCGGAGTTCGGGTGAGCTAAGTCTGAAAAAGAAGACTTCAGAATTCGGGTGAGCTAACTCTGAAAAATGACTTTTTAGACTTGTACTTTTCAGAATTATAGAAGACTTCAGAGTTCAGACTTCTAAGTCGGAGAAAGAAGACTTCAAACTTCTTTTTCTATGACTAAAAAAAGACTTCAGAGTTCAGACTTCTAAGTTTGAAAAAAGAAGATTTCAGAGTTCAAATTCCAGAGTTTGGGTGAGCTAACTCTGAAGAATGACTTCAGATTTGTTCTCTTGAAATAACTCTGAAATAAACTTTTCAGTAAATTGAATTTAGAATAAAATAAAGTTAAACCTAGAATAAAGTTAAATTTAAAAATGAAACTATATCAGTAAATTGAATTTAACTTAGAAGTAAACACCATTTTTTTCGGGAATTAGTTACCACACGAACTAATTAACCAAAAAATAGAATCAATTGCATCCTAAATTAGTAGGATTGATTGAATAAGATGACACATGTCAATCAAATGAATATAATTGAACTGTTAATGTAAATTGTGTCTAGATACGTTCAAATGAGTCTAATTGAACCATTAATATAAATTATGTCTATATACATGTTTAGGCGGTAAAATAAGATAACCGACTCATCAGAAGATGACACGTGTTACCCAAATTACTTATTTATTAGATGTATAGATGTTGTGGTTTGATTAAAAGAAGAATTGGTTAAAATAATTTTACAATATTTTGGTAAGTTTTTGAATATTATTAAAAGCCTAATGGTAATTACTTTTTTACTATTAATAATCAATTAAATAATATAATGGTTATGTTTTAATTAAACATCAATAATAATATTATAATGTTGAAGTTATAACACCATTCAAATCAAAATATTTAAAGGAAATTTATATTCATCTCCAACGGTTTCTTCATTTTAGAAATTATAATAAAAATTATATTATATTATATAAATATTTATTGTCTTTTATAAAATATTATTTTTTTCTTGTACATTTAATTTTAAAGATTATTGTTACTAATTTGGAAAAATTCACTTTCTCTTTCTTACTTTCTCCATTTTGAAGAATGTGTTAGAGCAAAAATCTCTAGAACCTTCATCGAGGAAGGAGGACATGTTGAGATGGACATGAATCAATTATGACGATTGATCGTAATCATCATGATTTTAGGTACCGAATTTATGTTTTATTCAACATATAATTAAGGGACTGTTTACCAAACGCTTACTCGAGTAAGCGTTTATCAAGTCACATTATCTTATCGAATGAATATAATAAAGACCAAGAATCTTATCCGGTAAGAGCGAGACAAGGACCAAGAGTCTTACCGGGTAAGTGAGGGCGACGACTCTTATCACGGTAAGCGCTTATTGGGTAAATTGTTGCATACAATATTGTTTTGATAGACTAAAATCTTATCCGATAAGTAATTGATAGTGTTAAATTTTACTGGTAAATACTTACCGAGAAAAACTAAAAGTAACAAATGTATGTTTAAATTAAATTATGTAAATACCAAATTTGATATATGATTTCATGAATTAATTAAATATATAAATAAACTTAAATGGGTGGTTAGAATATATATTAGGCATGACCAAAACACTATTTTCATTAATAAAATATGTCAAGAAAATCAAAGCACAACGGTCACATTTCCAGACATTTTCACATGAGCCCTTGTACTTTACTCATCTGTCATCTTCTTCACCTCTTTCCTTCTTAAACCCCCCTCTCACCTTTTCTCTCTCATTCCCAAATTCCCACATCTTTCTCTATCTAAACCCAATTTCTAATTCAATCCCATTTCAATTTTGATTACCATTTTGATTTCGATTTTGATTTTGATTTTGAATCCAATTTCGGTTTCATCTGTGTTATCTGTAAAATCTTGAAGAAAATGGCTAATAGAAAGCTAATGGTGGAGGTCTGTAATGCGAAGAACTTGATGCCAAAAGATGGTCAAGGGACAGCGAGTGCTTACGTGATCGTTGATTTTGATGGCCAACGGAGGCGGACGAAGACGATTTCCAGAGATCTGAACCCTCAGTGGGATGAAAAGATTGAGTTTCTTGTTCATGATGTTGCGTCGATGGCGACGGACATTCTTGAGCTGAATGTTTATAATGATAATAAGAAGACCGGTAAGAGGAGTACTTTCCTCGGAAAAGTGAAAGTCGCAGGAAGTACGTTTCCAAAGTGTGGATCGGAGGCGTTGGTTTATTATCCTTTGGAGAAGAGGAGCGTTTTCTCGCAGATTAAAGGTGAAATCGGGATTAAGATTTGTTATGAAGATGAAGAACCTCCGCCGGCTCCGGCGGCGGAAGAGCCCAAGGTTGAGGCGGCTGAAACACCGCCTGCAGCGACGGAGGAAAAGCCACCGGAGGACAAGAAACCGGATGAGGAGACGAAAGGTGAAGAGAAACCAGCGGAGGGAGGAGAGAAGAAAGAGGAGAAGCCACCGGAGGATCAGAAAAAAGAGGACACTGCAGCGGCGGCTCCTGCTACTCCATCGGCGGATGCAGCGGCGGCGGCAGTAGCACCGCCACCTCCTCCTGTGGAGATTATTGCGGTGGCTCAGTCGCCTAAGCCGAAACAGAGTGAAGAGAACCTTCAGCTGGCCAGAAAACCGTCAAATCTGGATTCCGATGTGGCTTCTCTTTCCAAACATCACCGTGGAAACACCACCTTCGATCTCGTCGATCGGATGCCGTTTCTCTACGTTAGGGTTTTGAAGGCCAAACGAGAGACCAAAGATTCCGACGATTCAACGGCGTACTACGCAAAGCTGGTGATCGGAACTTACAGTATCAACACCAAAGCACAAGGTACAACCAAAGATTGGGATCAAGTTTTTGCATTTGACAAAGAAGGTTTGAATTCGACCTCTCTAGAAGTTTCTGTTTTCGATCGGAAAAAGAAGGTTCTAGAAGACGGGAAAGAAGAAGTTTCCGAGAGTTGTTTGGGAACGGTGACGTTTGATTTGCCGGAAGTACCAAAAAGAGTGCCGCCGGACAGTCCGTTGGCTCCACAATGGTACACTCTCGAAGGCTCACCGGAGAATACTCCGGCGACTGACGTTATGCTTGCCGTTTGGTTAGGGACACAGGCCGACGAGGCATTTCAGGAGGCATGGCAGTCGGATTCCGGCGGGTTGATTCCGGAGACCCGAGCCAAGGTCTATCTCTCTCCGAAGCTATGGTATTTGAGACTAACGGTCATCCAGACCCAAGACTTGCAGCTAGGTTTGGGAGCCGAGCCTAGAGTCAAAAACCCTGAGCTGTTTGTTAAAGCTCAGCTTGGGCCACAGCTGTTTAAGACGAACCGTACAATGGTCGGCTCATCCAGCACTTCTTCCAATCCTACGTGGAATGAAGACCTGGTTTTCGTCGCAGCAGAGCCGTTTGAGCCGTTTTTAGTGATCACTGTCGAAGATGCATCCAATGGTCAAACTGTTGGGCATGCTAGGGTGCACGTAGGTAGCATAGACAAGCGTACAGACGATCGGTCAACGCTTGGGTCAAGATGGTTCAATTTGGTTGGGGATGAGAATCGACCGTACGCAGGTAGAATTCATGTTGGAGTTTGTTTGGAAGGAGGGTATCACGTGCTTGACGAGGCAGCTCACGTGACCAGTGACGTCCGGCCAACCGCGAAGCAACTGTCTAAACCGCCAATCGGGTTGCTCGAAGTCGGTATTCGTGGGGCCACCAATTTGCTTCCGGTGAAAACAAAGGACGGTACACGTGGCACAACGGATTCCTACGTGGTCGCCAAGTACGGCCCGAAATGGGTCCGCACCCGCACAATCCTCGATCGATTTAATCCGAGGTGGAACGAGCAGTACACGTGGGACGTATACGATCCGTGCACCGTGCTCACGATTGGTGTGTTCGATAATGGGAGGTACAGGGCAGGCGAGGGCGATAACAAGCCGAGTAAAGACGTTCGGCTGGGGAAGCTTCGTGTGCGACTCTCAACGCTAGACACGAATCGGGTTTACGTGGGTTCGTATTCGCTAATCGTGTTGCTCCCTGGTGGGGCCAAGAAAATGGGTGAGATCGAGATTGCAGTTAGGTTCTCGTGTTCTTCGTGGATCAGTTTGATCCAAGCTTACTCGACTCCTATGCTCCCACGGATGCACTACGTGCGTCCGTTGGGACCCATGCAACAGGATATGTTGCGGCACAACGCTATGAAGATTGTTACGGCAAGGCTGGCTCGATCAGAACCAGCCTTGGGTCAAGAAGTGGTCCAGTTCATGCTGGACTCTGACACACACACCTGGAGCATGAGGAGAAGCAAGTCGAATTGGTTCCGAATAGTTGGGTGTTTGTCAAAAGCCGCCACTTTGGCAAGGTGGCTTGACTCGATTCGCACCTGGGTTCACCCACCAACAACGGTCCTGGTCCATGTGCTCCTTCTAGCTATCGTCTTATGCCCACATCTAATCCTGCCCACAATATGCTTGTATGCCTTCTTGATCGTAGCACTACGATACCGATACCGGATGCGAATCCCCGTCACAATGGATCCACGGCTCTCCCAAGTCGATTCTGTGGGCCCCGACGAGCTCGACGAGGAGTTTGATGGGTTTCCAAGTTCAAGATCACCAGACCATATTCGTGTCCGGTATGACCGGTTACGGGCTCTAGCAGGTCGGGCCCAGACGCTGCTCGGCGATGTGGCGGCACAGGGAGAGCGGTTAGAAGCGTTGTGCAATTGGAGAGACCCGAGAGCCACTGGAATATTTGTGGTGGTTTGTCTATTGGCGTCACTGGTGTTCTACGTTGTGCCGTTTAAGGCGTTTCTGTTGGGGTGGGGATTCTTTTATATGCGACACCCGCGGTTCCGGGGAGATATGCCGTCACTGCCGATCAACTTTTTCCGGCGACTTCCACCTCTCTCAGATCAGATCCTATAAAGGGTAGAAATTATTATTTGAATGCTTTTAATCGTTGAATTTGGTAGCCACCTTTAGTGGTATTATTAATTATTTTTCGTTTAACCCTTTTTATTGGATCCTAATTGGAAAAAGTAGTTGATTCACCCTTTTCTTAAAAATAAACCCTTTTTTATTCACAAATAATCATACGGAGTTTATACAGTGTTGTTTCATAAAAATGCAGTTTTATAAAGCATTGTTTTATAAAAATGTTATGTTTATACAATGTTGTTCCAAACTTATGAACAACGATGTAGGCTAAGGTCCGGACTTTCCATTCACTCTGCAATTATGTACGTCTTCTTACCCGTTAAGTTAAAGCTACTGATGATCTGAAAACCTTAAAGGCAGCTTATGCACACCACCATGGCCGAATGGGTCTTCGAACCAGCAAATAGCCCCCCTGCAAATGGCTCACTAGAAAACCCACAAATTTCTTAACCGTCACCGAACCAGACTCATCCCGACAGTCGAGCTGTTAGATCATGCCAACATAAAACCAAAGTCAAACTACCAACAAAACGACACTTGCGGTTCCTGAATGTATACATTTCAAGAACTTATAGAATGCTAAGAACCACGACAAACCAAATTCGAAGTTAGCAACTTGTGAATATATTACTCGATTAATGGGTTCAATTAATCGGATAACAAAACAACATTGACTATAAATCAATCTCAGATAACCCACCCCAAAAACAACAAAAGAAAAAATGGCGGTATTTCGTTTTTTATATCTATAACTTTCCCTAAATTTTGATCCAGTATTACTGTACATCACAAGGGGTCTTTTCTACCTTTAAATTTGATGGGGTTGTCATACGAGAATCTGCGATTTGGCCGCACCACGGGAACATTTCTTCCGACTGCTTTTGCTTAGAGCGCAAACGCATGTTTCAAGGAGATCATAATCTTCTTCCCAAAACAAAAGTGCAGCTTTATCGGGATTTTCTAAGAGCATTTTGGATGTTAGAAATCCAGCAATTGTCCACGTTTGGTAAAGTCTAGATTGCTTCCCGATGAACTTCCCATTTCTGGTATCGTAATATTCCGGCCAGTGATCGGTATACAATCTTTTCTCTGCAATATCGACCGCCTTTCTTGCTAATTCCGGCCTTCCCATCTTCAGGCAAGCTAATGTGAACTGAGATACAAGAGAAAAAAAATAGAACACTAAATTTATCTCTTAAATGAAGTTAAAAATAAAGAGTCATCAAATCTGAAAAAACAGCACAATCCCGAGGGTGCGTTGGTATGCAAACGAGATTGAAAAGGATTGGACATGAGTAATTTAGTAATCTTGTTTGATTCCCACCCAGGTCATGTGTTGTCCCACTATGTGTTTAGTACACGGACAAGACTGGACAGGCGATGCGATGGTTAGGTAGGTAGGCAGGTGAAAAAATTGTAGAAGGTTTGAGCCCTGACCTCACACACCCTCCTCACCCATGGTGAGGTTTGAGCCCCTAACCTCCTAGGAGGCTAAAGACTACGATACCGCTAGGCCAAAAGCCCTTTGGTCGCTAGTTTAGTAATTTGTCCCATCTTCCTGATTTTTGTTCCACCTATTTAGGTGGGACAGAATAAAAAGCATTTTTATTCCACTCGAGTCCTGTCCTAGTTTAATGTCGCACCAAAGGTGAGACAACAGATTTTTGTACTGTCCTGTCCCATCGTGTCCCACATACCAAACTCACAGTGATTGAACTGGACCATGTTCAGCACTAAGAGAATCTATCACAACTAAAAGTGAAATTTACCTGCCATAGAAGAGTTGGCCAGGAACCGCCATTGTGATACGACCACGGTCTGCAATTATTAGGGAGTTTGAAATCGTTTGATATAATATAATAAGCACAATAGTTCACGGAAAAGATAAAAACAACTCACGTATTCTTTGGGTCACTGCCGGTGATTATACGCCAATCTTCTAATTCAAGGGCAGGATAGCAGATCTTAACGGGCATCTGACCAACAAGATCATCCCACTTGGATTCTATCAGATTCAAGATCAAATTGTTTTGTTTCGGAGTGCTCAAAGAGGAGACTATCGACCATATATTTCCGAGCGTGAAGAATCGGAAATCCATGTGTGCTGGTTGTAGATTGCCAATCATGTAACCTCCTTCCTCCGGAATCCAATCCATTAACCAATGGGGGATCTGTTCTGGGTAAATGTTGAACTTGTTTGTTGCTTCCGTTGAATATTCTTCGGTTTTATATCGGTAAATTTCATTGATTTTCTTCATATCTACCCAATAATATTCTCGGATATGAAACGACAGCGCACTGAGTCTATTATTGATGGTTCTCACCAAATTCTTGGATCCTTCATCTAAAGCAAGCATCTCTCGAGCACATCTTAGGGCCGAGTAGAATAACGACTACAAAATCCAAGAAACGGAAAAGATAAGTCAAAATTCTCTTTTTGAAGTATATAATATTTATTATACGGCAAATACTCACGCACACTGTTCACCTTGAACCCTTGACCTTCAGGGAGGCTGAGATTTGCCGGTAACCCGGGTACCGCTAGGGCAATGACCCTTTGGTAAAGTTAAAAATGTTCTTTCTGGTCAAAAGAAGGTTCTTATTTTCAAGGTTCTAAATGATGTGTCGTGGCGGCGAGACATGGCGTTTTTCAAGGCATCACTTGAGGGGGCAAATGTGCATATATATATATATATATATATATATATATATATATAGAGAGAGAGAGAGAGAGAGAGAGAGAAAGACTCAGGTTCCGGAGAAAACCATAAAAAATGGAAAACTGAGGAACACCCTAATAACCATTCATTTGTTCGGTATGCACAAGAATTTTGTGGTTTCCCTTTAACCCAACCCTATACATATACACACACACAAACATATGTTTTCAACTGTTACTCAATGATATTGAACAACTTAAATTTCATATAGACATAAGAAAACTAATATATTAACATCACATATATAGAGCTTACAATACTCTCGTCTCATCAACAAAAAAAGGTCAAAAACACCCGCGATGGGGGTTAACAGGTGGTGAGAGAAGCACCTTACCGCCATGGCGAGCATTTTAGAACACTGCTTATATTCAATAGATGAAGTTCGAAGGGAAAAAAGAACTCACTTGGATCTCCAAAGGGTGGCCATGGATACCCATCCTTCGATCAATCATACACGAGCCATCAGTAACTAACAGAGATGGAAACATATCGAATCCATCAGACAAGCACAAGTTCAAAATCAGTTTGATTCCTGTTTGAACATCGACCCTCTCCTGCATTGCATAATCACCCGTGATCTTTCCATACGCTCTCAACAATATAATCCACCACAATCCTGCATTTCGTCAATAGACAAATAATAGTTTCAAGAATCATAACTAAAAGTCCCTCTATCCCAAAACAAGTGTCCACATTTCTATTTTAATTTGTCCCAAATAAGTGTCTAATTTCCAATTCTACCCTCAATTATGATATGAGAAAAATTCATTATTCCCTCTATTATTAAGGGTAAAATTGTCATTTAATTTACTAAAAACTGCAATAACTACACATTTCTAAAAATGTATGCCTTTTTCATTGTGGACATTTATTTTGGGATGGAGGGAGTACTTGTTAATAAGCCAACTGATCAATGGCATAGTTCATAAGAAAAACAAATCAACTTCTTACCAGAATCAACTGGTGCAACACGGCCTATAGCCGATTCGCCAAAATCCGGGTCCAAAACTTCTTCAACCTTGGTCTCATCAAGGGGCACGGTTCTTATTTTGAAACTTGCAGGCATCAACCCCTGCCCTGGACTGTAGCAGTCCACGGTTTTCTCCCAGCTCTTTAAAAAACAAAAAAGCATCAACAGGCTTATCAATTTTTGTGATTAGCGACTAGATATCGGTTATATTCACAAAAATATTGCCTTAGATAGCATGGTTTATGAATGTAATGGGCTAACCATACCCATGAAACATCAGAGAGTACACTGGTTAATTTCTATAATCAACATTATACACGTTATATATATCGTCAAGTACCATGGAAATACATAGGATCATAAGAAGAACGGATTTCTAAAACAATTGGCACCCATAAGATAGAAACAAAAAGAAGACGTCACTGAATAGACAATTTGAATAATTTAGCAATAACATACATTTGTGCTATATATCATAAAGGCAATCAAATGTGGTTAGGAAGTAGGAACGAGCATTACAGCAATGAGAAAGTGATGATTTTGAGTCATTTGTCATGAATCAATCTCTATATTTTTGCCTTCATAAGTAAAAATAGTGAAATTGCTCAAAATGCTACATAAAAGCTATGTTTGGCAATCTGGCTGATAAGCTAGCTTTAGGCCGATAATCTAGTGAATACTAATTGATAAGATGGATAACGATGTAAAATAACCTAAAAGAACATTTTGAAAAATACTTGCAAAACATAAGGAGCATAATTGGAAAGAAGTGGGAAGAGTTCCTGGAGTTTGTTGAAACGCTACATGAAATAGCTTTTCATAAAGCTACCTTATAAGCTAGCTTTTCATAAAGCTACCTTATAAGCTAGCTTTTGGCTAACCAAACCGGGTTTTCTTTCAAAAATCTCAAAAAATAAGCTAGCTTTGCCATGAGTCCCAAACTCCCAATCGATTGAAAACCTCTTAATTCATACAAACTATACAAACCAATAGCAACCATCCATCTAGTCTAATTAAAATATGGTTCCATAAATACCTCGATTGTTTTTCTAGTCTAAAGCATTGATCATAGTGAATGAACTCTTACCATCTCCCATACATATCTTGATCATAACAAATAAACCCGTCACCATTTAACTTTGTGGGGTTAGATCAGCTGGCAATAACCCTAGGTTTAGCCAAGGTGTGAGCAAACTGGCATGGACACCCACGGTTAACAAAAGGAAACCCTCTTTCCATAAATATCTTAATTGATTAGTTTGTATGAATTAGAAGGTTTGCAAATGATTGGGACTCTATTTGCTATATTACTTGCATTCATATGAAGATTTACATATATTATTGCATTCACAATCGAAAATTACCTGCAATTGCAAAGTATGGAGGAGAAAATTTCTGACAATCTCTCCTTCACCCTTTAGCAAGAAGGCCAAAGCAGATGGCACGAAATCTCGAATGAAAACTTGATCATAATTCAATGGCATCTTATCTCCGGGATCATTGGCGGCCACCGTTCCGACTGGGCTGCCGCAATATGTTACCACCGCCTCCTTCAACAACCGCCACGCCTCTTTCTCCGCTTCCGATTCCGTCCTCCCCACAGGCACAGCCGTCTCACGAGCTTCATCGTTAGATACCAATTTCTCATTTTGTATTTCGTTTAACCTAGATTCTTCCCCTTCTCTAACTATAGTTTCATCTTTATCAATCGTTTCTACCACTAAAGGCCTAGCTTCATCTAAATCACCACCGCCCTGCACGTAAATTCGCTCGAAATTCTTCTCATTCACACGAGTTTCTAAAGTTGTCGAATAATTCACAAGATAACTAGGTTTACTGCTACTATTCTTGCTAGAACTACAACAGGTAGCGGGAAAAATTCTAGATCGACCCCAATTTGGATTGGTAACGGAGAAGGGTTTATGGGTTCGATGGATAGAGGGAAATCCCAAAAATCGAGGTGGGGATTCATGGAGGTTGCGATTTAAAATAGGGGATTTAATGAATCCCAAAACGCTTCGGCTTTGGATTGAAAGCCTGCAACCAAACTTCATATTACAAAATTTGATGGCGTTCATAACAAAAACAATCAGACGAATGAAGTATGCAAAATTGATGATCTATTTTTTCCCCAAATCAAATGAAGGGTTCGTGAATATATATATATATATATGTCTCATATAGATAATGGGATTACATAGATTTATGTGAATCTAAAGGCACCAAGAATCAAATTGGTGTAGTGTAGGGATTTACGGAGACGAAATTGTGGTGGTAGTATGTGTCTGGGTGAAGATTTTTTGGTTGGGGGGAAGAAACAGCGATATGATGGAGAAATATGATTGGATTTGCAAGTAGGCGAGATTCGAAAGCATACTCGAAGAATGCAATCTTACATCCCAACTTCCATTTTAGGAAAAAAAAAGTGGAGTGCTATTCAAAGGGATGCCAAATACATTGGAAATTGAACCTCATTAAAAAAAAATAAAAAATTAATAAAATAAAAATAATATAATATATTTTATTATTATTACTTTCTATATTAATATATATCCTATAATTTATATATATATATATATATATAATTCCTTATATTATATATTT